AGCAAAACAACAGGGGAAAAAAAGCCCACAAATCAACAAAAGCATCTTTGTCCTGACTGCCAGGCTACCTGCCAATTATGGTAACAAGTAAACAAAACAAGTCAGCTAACAATAATTTGTTTTCTTTACATACACATTGCTTGGGGTGAAATACAAATTGTTTGAGGGGAAGTAGTAGTTATTATCTGGCAATTTTACTGTGACCTTTCAATTGTAAATAGAATAAAAAATTGGAAACATGGGTTTCCATTTCATCTAAGTTTCTTTTTTAAGAGTAATTATTAGTTTAAAACCATGTCAATTACTTAATAACAATTTTTTTACCTTTTTGTTGTTTTAGGAAAATTTGTAGTTCATTAAAATTTTTTTTGCCAATCTACTTCCTTCTAGCATCTTCAATAGCTTCTTAATTTACAATATATTGGCTACACTAGATATACAATAAAAAGCAGCCAATTACTATCTCTGCTATTGAAGATCCAGCAAGACTAATCATTAGCACTCTGGTCATGGACAAGTTTGAAATTTTCCCTAACCCTAATTACCTCATTAAAAATATTTTTAGATGTATTTATTCAGTGTTTTGTCTGCATGTATGCCCATGCACGAAGAGTGTGCCTAGTACCTGTTCAGGTGGGAAGAGGGTGTTGAATTCCCTGGAACAGGAGTAATGTGTAGTTGTAAGTTGCCATGTGACATGCCAGGAACCAAACCCAAATCCTCTGCAGCATCTCCTGAGCCATTTCTCCAGCCTCAATATACCCAATTTTAAAAAAAGTTATAGTCCTGTAAACAACCTTACAAAGAATCTTGCCAACTATATCAGGAAAGGCTCAATATTAAATGGTCTGTTAAAATTCAATATTGCCAGCCGGGCAGTGGTGGCACTCGTCTTTAATCCCAGAACTTGGGAGGCAGAGGCATGTGGCTCTTTGTGAGTTCGAAGCCAGCCTGGTCTACAGAGTTAGTTCGAGGATAGTTAGGGCTGTTAGATAGAGAGACCCTGTCTCAAAAAACAAAACAAAACAAAAAAACCCAAATAAACCAACCAACAAGCAATCAATATTGCCAAGGCAGGTTACATAGGTAAGAGTTTTGCCTTCATTGCCTTTTCTAACTACAACTCTGAAATGTTGTATTGTGGCTTATGTGAGACTTTAATAATGAATTCTCTTCCATACACAATGCAGAAGTACCTCCACAAAGACTGCTTATTTAGCTGGTTACCTCCCTAAATAAGACTTATATTTTAGATATTCTAAATAATCCTTTGCTAATTTAGAAATCTGAGCATGCACAACATCACTGCTCACATTTTACTGTAGTATTAAAAGTAACTCTATGGCCAGAGAGACGTCTCAGTGGGTTTAAGCCTCTGAACCCACATAAGAAAGCTAGAAAGTGGTGAATGCCAGCATTCTTCTAGCAAGATGGGAGGTAGATAAAAAATTTCAAAATATTTTTAGTTGTATCTACACACAAAGCATTCATTAATGCAGAATGTGTAATAATTGTGATTCTAAATGTCAAGGTTCAAAAGTGAAATCTCATGGGCTTATACTAACCAATGAAATCAAAGGTCATGATGATGTAACATCCAAGTAAACAAATTTTAACACATACTTGTCAATTTCTGAAATACACAGTTTGCTAAGCCCAGTTTTTTTGCTAACTTGCCAAAGCTACCTGTTTTTCTTAAAAAATGCTATGCCATGATCACTGAGGAAAACAATCTAGTCTAGAGGTTGTCTGGTATTAATATCTGACCATGGTCTGTCCCTCTGAGTGTCCATTATGAATCTTTAAAGGTGAGGTCTTGTTAGATAACAAGAATCATAACCTCTTTGGGAAACTGAAGTTCTCCCAGCTACTAAGATTCAAGGTTATGATAAAGTACCAAGGCCCCTGTGAACAAAAGGGGAAATCAGAAACCAGGTCTATGTTAGACTCCTTTAGAGGTCCCCTTTACCCTAAAGCATGTGACTACTTTTTTTCTATTTTTTTTTAATTTATTTTTACTTAAAAATTTCCACCTCCTCCCATTTCTCTCCCCCTCTCCCACCTCCCTCCCCTTCCCTCTCCAGTCCAAAGAGCAGTCAGGGTTCCCTGCCCTGTGGGAAGTTCAAGGAGCACTCCCTTCCATCCAGGTCTAGGAAGGTGAGCATCCAAACAGACTAGGCTCCCACAAAGCCAGTACATGCAGTAGGATCAAAACCCAGTGCCATTGTCCTTGGCTTCTCAGTCAGCCCTCCTTGTCCGACATGTTCAAAGAGTCCAGTTTGATCACATGCTCCATCAGTCCCAGTCCAGCTTGCTTTGGTGAACTCCCATTAGATCAGCCCCACCAGGCAAAAATTGGAAACTTGGGGGTGGGAGTAGGGTGGGGGTAAGGGGGGAGAAAAAAGTGAGAAGGGGGGGATGGGGAGAGCTTCGGGGAATGGGACGGTTGGGATGGAGGAAGGGTGGATATGGGAGCAGGGAAGTATATATCTTAATTAAGGGAGCCATTTTAGGGTTGGCAAGAGACTTAACTCTAGAGGTGTCCCCAGGTGTCCATAGAGATGTCTCCAGATAGATCCTTGGGCAACTGAGGAGAGGGAGCCTGAAATAGCCCTATCCTATAGCCATACTGATGAATATCTTGCATATCACCATAGAACCTTCATCTGGTGATGGATGAAGCTAGAGACAGAGACCCACATTGGAGCACTGAACTGAGCTCCCAAGGTCCAAATGAGGAGCAGAAGGAGGGAGAACATGAGCAAGGAAGTCAGGACCGCGAGGGGCGCGCCCACCCACATGCGACTACTTTTTAAGACAAAGAATAATAGGTAAAATTTAATTTTTTGTTTGTTTTAATCCAAGGTCTCTCTGTATAGGCCAGACTGGCTTCCAACTCAGATCATCTTGCTCAGCCTCCTCAGTGCTGGGATTACAAGCAAGCACCACCTCAAATGGCTTAAAATTTAAAGAATGGACTACTGTTTGCTTTATGTCATACCTTCATCATAAAGCTTGCTGTTTCTGAACATAACACACATAACTCAGATATGAAAAGCAAACACAGTTTAAAAAAATCTACCTATGATGTTCAACTTTGCACAATTCAGTCATTTCTTCCAAATTTCCAATTTACTGGAATGTAAGTTTCTCAGGTATACCCTATTTTCTAGTGTTCATTGCTATCCACTGTCAGGTTTTCCTTTTCACTTATTAAGGACAATAACACTTTTTCCTATCTATTTCCACTCAAAACAATCATATTAAGTGCTGACATTAAATATGTACTTATTCTTATTTTATATATGAGTATTTTGACTGTTTGCATATCTGTGTAACACATTTGTATTTTTGTGCCCCTGAAGGACAGAAGAGGTGGTTGAATCTCCTGGAGCTGGAGTGATAGGTGGTTGTGAACTGTCAAGTAGGTGGTAGCAACTAAACCCAGGCCCTCTACAAAAGCAGCAAGTGTTCTTAACTACTAAGCCATTTCTCTAGTTTATGACATAAAATCTTTAAGAAAAAAAAATCTTCTGGGACCACTATCTATATATTTGTTTTTATTAATGTGTCTATGGTGTATGCGTATGACATATGAGTGTAAGTGTACATGTGCCACAGCATATACCATAGCACATGTATAGAGGTCAGAGGACAATTTCCAGTGGTCCATTCTAGCCTTCCACCTTGTTTCTGAGTATGTACTGTGTATTCTAAGCTAACATGGACAGCACGTCTCTCAGTGATTCTCCTGAATCATCACAGTGATTCTGGAATTCCAGATGTGCCCTACTGCATCTGGCTTTTTGTGTGGGTTCTGGAATCTGAACTCAAGTTGTCAGGCTTGTACAGCAAGTGCTTTTGCCCACTGAGTCACCTCCCTAAACTCACTCTATTCACATTATATTGTTTTAAATGTGTCTGTGGCAAAGGATAGAACTACGCATTCTGACTCTAAGGGCTGAAGACTAACAACCCCAAAGTTACTTGACTTGGTGATCAAGGTTTGGTTTATAAAGTACCTGTTAAGGAAAACTAAGGGACCAAAAGTATGTTTTCATTTTTAACATATGACCACTTCTCCAGTCCTGTATTATTGACTGTCTGTAAAACATTCCCTTGAAGGTGTCAACAATCCAACAAATATTAAATGTACAGAAGACAGAGACTTTTGCTAGAATTTTTATAAAAACTATACATAATTATTAATTGGGAAAATAAATAATATTTTCTTACGGTTTGTAGCCAAATCTAATTGCTTAAAATTCCTTATCTTTTTAAATTTCAACACTGTCAAATCCTGCCTTTTTTACCATTTGTTCCATAGCTAAAGTGATCAAATCAATTCAAATTACAAGAGCAAATGCTTCATTCAGCCCATTCCTAAGACGTATTCCACATTTCTCACCTCCTCTTCCAGGCCTAGGACCCCACCTAGTGGACTGCAGCTGAAATCACCCTTTCCACTGTTTGACTTCTTCCCTGCATGGATGGCAGGCACACTGGCTGATTGGACTTGATTAATGCTCAACTAACTCTATTTCAGAAATTTCTTTAACCCATATATTTCTCAAACCACTTTCTGTTCATATTCCAGTTAGAGCCAAATATTATAAAAGTTCTTTTTCTCTATTTATATTGTAGTAAGTGAACCCCAAAGATTCCCCAACTTTAGTTCAATAAAGACAGCGCACTCCTTAACTTTGTCACTAAATGAGAAACTAATATAGTAAATTCTTGGTCTTAAAAATAATGATCAATGACCTCAAATTTTATCCCCAGAAGATTCAAGATTTGCACTGACTTTTCATGTCCCTCTAGTTAAGTTTATTCTTTCTCAGAATTCATAGCAAAAAAAGTTTGTATTTTATAAAAGCAGCAATATGTAATTGTACTAATTCCTGTTGCACTTACTATATAATTACCACTACAGCAAGCAGCACAGGGCACAGACTCCAACAGGATGTTAGAAGAATGGAACTTTTGGGCTCTAGTGAGAATCTTCATATATATTATTTCTTTCTAACTAAAATTCAGAGTGGCTTCACACATAGAAACAAACAACTGTGCTTTAAGACTGCACCTCAAAACTAATCTCTCTGAGAACTTCGCTTTATTTTCTCTCCTGTGTTAGTCCATCTTGAATAAAACTAGTCCAAAAAAACCTCCTATATATATTTTTTAAATTTACTTGTAATAGTTTCTATATTATTTCCTCTCTTCCCTTTCTGATTCCTTCCATACATTCCCCCTTGAACTCAGATTTATGGTCTCTTTAATCATTGTTATGTGTGCACACACACTCAGGCACGAGTATGTGTGTCCTAAACATATAAATACTACATGCTCAGTCCATATAATGCTGGCTGAATGTCTATGATCTCAGGGATAATTACTTGGTATTAAATAACCAATCAAGAGGGCTCTTCCAATTCCTAATTATGTGCTACATATTTGTCCTTATACTCACAAACAGATTTAATTCTCACCCTTAATCAAAGAAATTTATCTTTGTAACAGACAGAGACCATATAGAAAACTACAACCAATGAAAATGCAGAAGAGATCATGAGGTGACCAATCTAAACTGATACATCTGTAAAAACAATTCCTGTACCAAAGACTCAGGGGATCATATCACAATAGAAGGAAGAAAGATCGTAAAATACAGAGAAGTAGGAAGTTTACTAAAACTGTGACTTCTAGAAATGCAGAGAGGCTACAGACCCATGAAGTTTCATCAAATAAGACCTGAACAACACCAATGAACATGCTAACACGGAAAGGGTCTCAATACTAGACAACTACGGGCAACCAGGAAAACAGAAGAGCAGGAAAAACTATCTTCCCTAGGAAAGAGTCCTTCTAATATATTTTCAGTTCCTTTCATAATCTTTTTTAAAAATTTATTTAACTTTATTTTAAGTGCATTGGTGTCAGATCTCCTGGAACTGGAGTTACAGACAGCTGTGAGCTGCCATATGGGTATTAGCAGTTGAACCCAGGTCTTCAGTTGTCTTAACTGCTGAGCCATCTCTCCAGTACCCCCTCCTTTCAGAGTCTTAGTACCACTCTATTTCCAATCACATTATCAAACTCACATACATTGCTCAAACAAAGAATTTTTCCTAAGCTAAAATTCTGAAATTTTAAAAAGTCAGTTATACACAGTCATACATTTTGCTAATCTTCTCGTCTAATCTAATCTTCTAATGTCTCCTGACGGTCTTTACTTACTCTCAGTAGGGTTCTATGTGGGGTATAAAGAATTAAAATGTATAGCCCTAGCTTTCCAGGGGACAAATCAAGTCTTGGAATGTTTTTGCAGTTTTCCTTTGAATCTCAGTTACTTTGACACCTGATTACCTGCATTAGTTTTGTTACCTTAGAAAGTGATATTCTGACAGGGCTCCATAGTTCTAGGATACTCTGCAAGGCCCACATTCTCTAGAATGCCCATTCAACTGGCCTCTGGGTGTTGAAGTGAGGGTTTGAACTCAGGTCCTCAACCATTTCCTATCCACTGAGTAATCTCTCCAGTCCCTCCACCCAAAGTTTTGAGATAGGGTCTCTCAATGAGTCTAGAGCTTACTGATTCTGGTAGTCTAGCTGGCCAAGATGACCCTCAAGCACTAGGATTTCAGGTATATGAACACTGCACCTGGCTTTTTCTATGAAGATTCTGGAGATTGAACTCAGGTTTTTATGCTTAACTGAGCCATTCCTTAATCCTTCAAGCTCTTATTAGAAAAAACTATTCCACCCAGCCACTCGGGAGACAGAGGCAGGCGGATCTCTGTGAGTTCGAGGCCAGCCTGGTCTACAAGAGCTAGTTCCAGGACAGGCTTCAAAAAGCTACAGAGAAACCCTGTCTCAAAAATCAAAAAAAAAAAAAAAAAAAAAAAGAAAAAAAGAAAAGAAAAGAAAAAAGAAAAAAACTATTCCAACCAAGTACTGCTCCTCACCCGTCTGACACGCATAATAGCTATGACTTCTGTTCTGGAAGTACAGTAAACAAACTATTTTTCAGGATTTTATTTATTTATTTTTTTGGTAACTGTTCAGGCCTCTGGGACATTTCTAGTTGTTCTTTGTCCTGCTCAGGCACCTGAATAATGGTTTGCTTCTTCACATTCTCAGGCAGCACATTCTTCATAAGGTCTTCCCTGACTTTCTACTTAAAAGAGTTCTTATTCTTTGTGTCTTTTACTCAAGTTTTATTTATCTATCTTCCATTTCTATATAGTAAGTGCAACAAAGACAAATGTTTTCCCTTTTATCAGCTTTACTCATTTGTGTGGTTACTACCCCACTATCATATCATCATGCTAGTTTAAAATACTCTTAGGAGCTAAGATCAGGTATTATATACCTAAATATCTTCAATAAGGGTTTCCAGAATGCCTTACATTCTGGAATACATACTCCTAAGTCTAATCACACATTTTGAATGGGTATGAGATGGTAAAGAAAAAGGAATGTTCAACCTGTCAGTCATTCTAACAAGGTCCCAAGGCAGCAAACTCCTTTAGCCATCTTAACTTTATTTTTCTTTTCAGAATATAAAAATTTATTACTGTGATTCCACTGTCAAAATTTAGGATCTTGGTCTTCTTGCCTTTGTACAGGGCCAAAAGAGACACGTTGGCGACTTTAACAACCTTAAAGCGGACTCCATGAACATCACCTACAGCATGACTCTTTCGACCAAATCCAGCAACCAGAACTTCATCGTTTTCCTCAATGAAGTTCAAGCAACCATCATTGGGCACAAAAGCTGTGATTTTCTTGCCGTTCTTGATGAGCTGCACCCTGACACACTTCCTGATAGCAGAATTTGGCTGTTTGGTTTCAACCCATACTTTTTCCAGCACAATTCCCTTGGCCTGAGAGGCACCTCCAAAAGGATTGGCCTTAAGGGCTGTGCCCAAGTGGGCTTTCTTCCACTGTTTATTCTGCCACTCCTGGTCCCGCCGGTGGCTGCAGAGCTTCCTGGTGGTACGGAGACCACAACACGCCCATCTTGCTGGCACCGAGGGCCCGAGAGAAAACACCATCTTAATTTTAACAATATTTTCCTTTTTTCTTATAATTCCCCTGCCTTAAACTAACATCTTTTCCTACGCCAGAACACTTACGTATTTCTCCATCTCTTATTTCTTAGAGCAGTCCCAAATCAAAGTCAACCTGACAATTCTCCTCTTCTCAGTGTATTTGTTATTTACCCAATACATATGGCCTGATAGCACATGGGTATACACTTCAGGTACTTCATGGGTTAGTATCAGAGAATTCTCAAAGACACTATGGAAGAACTGTGGGCACAAATGGTGGGTAAAACTGAACTGATTTTATAAGACAGCCAATTTTTAAAAATCTGACAGAAAGATCTAGTATAAAACCACCTGAATCTTCATAACTTAATACCATTAGCTAATTTTTCCTATTAGATACATGTAACTTATATATATATATAATTATCATATATAGAATTTATAAATTGGAGAAAGAGGAACTATAACTTCTTGTACACAGAACATGGTAGCTAAAAAACATGCCTAAGGATGAGTGTTGTGTCAGACACTTTTAATCTCAGCACTGAGGAAGCAGAGGCAGGTGGACTACTGTGAGTTCAAGGACAGCCTGGTCTCCAGTGAATTCCAGGCCAACCAGTGCTACATAGTGAGGCCTGTCTCAAAAAAAAAAAAGAATAAATAAATAAATAAATAAAAAAAAAATAAAAAAGTTCTATATTGCTTAAGCTCTGAAACATTCTGGTGGTGAAACAAGCTGTTATGAAACCACGAGAATACTTAACTTCCTATATTTTTGCTGTCTCATCAACAACAATGAAAAAACAATCTATCAAAGCCAAGTATATGGCTGTTTGAGCACCAAGGAGAAAATTACACGCGTCTAAACAAAGTTCCTGCCACATCATAAGCAAAGAATAAATGGCAGCTATCATTATAACGGTCATTAAGATATAATAAGGTGCCTTATCTATTACTTTCAAGTGTTAAGATAACTATACTGCAATGTATTTTCATATTCTCTAATATATAAAATGATGAATAAAAACTATATTACAGCAAGTTAGTTCACAGTATTATATTGTCAGTAAAAAATTTAAATGAAATTGTATTTATAGATATAGAAAAATGCTCATAACAGTTTTAGTTGAAAAAACTCAACATTAAATGTGTCTGATTTTACTTAAAATAGTAATAAAATTGATTAAAAATAAACCGTCTTCAATTTATTTTTCAAATGTAAGTAATATATTGAAAAAACCTACCAAAATATTGGCAAGAGCTATTTTTATTTTTTTCTTTTCCTTTCTATATTTCCAATTTTTCCATATTGAGCATGTACTATGGACATACATGAGATGAGACTAATATTTTCAAAGGTTTGTAAAGTTTGAATATGTTAATAATGTTTTCATATAGGGAAAAATGATCCCAATAAACCTAAAAAGGAAAGGAAAACTGAACCTTTGGGCTGGGTAGCTGAGTTGGCATAGCGCTTGCCCAGAGTACACAGAGTCCGAGTTTAATCCACAACACTGAATAAACCGGGTGTGTTAATACACACTTATACTCCTAGCACTTGGGAGTTAAAAGCAGGAGGATCAGAACTTTAAAGGTGTACTCTGATACATAGTAATTTTGAGGTTAGCTTGGACTACAAGAGATATCTTCACCACCATGAGATAACTCAGTGGGGAAAAGTGCTTACTGCCAAGCTTGAGGATCTGGAGTTTAATTCTTGGGACTCACATGACAGAAGGAAAGACTAAACTCCTACAAGTTCTTCTCTGGCATGCACATGCACTCTGTAATGTGCCCCTCCACCACACGAATAAATAAACATGAAATATAAAAATGAGGAACTTTCAATAATCAACATACCGTGATAATTCTAACTAAATTTCTTGTTACTCATCAGGTCAAAGTCATGCTTTGCACATTAGTACAAGTAAACAGGAATTATTTTCTTTTTTGTTTTGTTTTTTTGAGACATGGTCTCACATTACACAGGCAGACCTAAAACATATTTGGTCTCAAACCGTACACAGCCGATTCCTGATCCTCCTGCCTTCCCCTATCAAGCACTGGGATTATAGGTATACACCATTAGACCTATCATGGAAATTTTCAAAATATCTAACTAAAACCCAAAATACTTTAAAAACCAGTCTGAATATTTGTTGTGTGTGTGTGTGTGTGTGTGTGTGTGTGTGTGTACACAGTCACATAACATCTGTGAAATAGTAAGTTAACAGAAATCTAATAGACTTACCCGCTCTGCAACTGACTCATCTCCGGGCACACACACAGTAACAGCACAAGCTATTTCCATCACGGAAGAGCTGGTAGGAGCATCAGTTGTGGATGAAGACCTGGGTCGACCTGACTGTATAACAGCAGCCACCTCCTGGCCAGATTTCCTGTTGATTTGGGGACTTCCCTTTGGGGCTTCTGACTTGCCCCGCCTACTATGCAAGCTTGTCCCTCTCTTCATCTTGGGTGGCACTCGAATCTGTTGCAGAACACGATTCAGAGCTGTGGGGTGGGTGGAGACACCATCAATCTCAGCACATGCGTTCTGACTGTCCAGATCCACTTCGGGCTCTGGATCTGTCTGAAGCTGCTGCACATCGTGTGGAGACACTGATGACCTCCTGCGCTGGTGCTGGAAGAGATGCTTCAAACCTTGGCCAATCACATTAATGTTCTCCAGAGCATTGTGGGTCATTTTAGATAACTTTTGTTCTGATTCTGTCTGCCTCCTGGCTTCTGCATCTTGGGATTTGCCTCCAGGATCAGGGTCCTCATATAACTGTTCACTGCCGGAAGGCTCCATTAGTAAGCTTAATAAGCTTATTTGCAAACTCAAAAAATTTTAAACACACCGAGACTGTCAAATTAGGTAGGCATTTGCTTCACCAGTGACTATGCATGCAGCTGTGAGATGGAGGCTTCATGCCTACCTAATGTTAAAAAAAAAGAAAAAGAAAAAAAAAACAACAACCTTGTATCATACATCCATGCAAAAAATACAGAAACACTACAAAGAAACAAAGAAAACATGCAGCTAGCCAAACAAATAAGTTACAATCATTAAGCAATCTTTAATCGAAAGATTAAAAGATAATTTTTTTCAGATAATGGGTTATGGTATTTTCTAGAATAAGAAGCCCAAAACACAGGAAATGAAAATAGCAATGTTGGGGGAAAAAAATCCTTTTACAAGTTTCAGTATATGAAGGATAGGACCATTTTGGAATAGACACCATAATAGCAGCTGGCAGGACAAGCAACCATTGCTTAGAGAATCAAGAGAACTAGACCATTTAGTATGTTTAGTCTAGCTGAGGCAATTAAATTCTTTTTATTTATAGTCACAGTTAAGTATTTACATGCTGAAATTCAGCAAATTCAAATAACACTAAGAGATAAATATTCTAACCTATGTAGATTTTAATGAAAATTTGGAATCTTTTGCTACCATCCATCCATATTCTCAAGCTCAATGGTAATGAGATGCAACAGGTTTGCTTTTTTGGGAGGACAAAACAAAAGAGAAAAATCTTATAAATGGAATTCTTTGCTGAAGCCAAAATAACTTTTCTGGCCCCAATTAATGAGCCATCCAGACAAATCAGTCTTCAGAGAGAATAGAGCTTTACTTAATACCACCTGTCAAAAAGGGAGATTTGAACTGGGGCAGGCACACAACTGTAATCCTAGCACCCAGGAGACCAAGACAGGAAAGCTGAACAGTTCAAGGTCAATCTGGACTACAGACAGCAAGTTCTAAGCTAGTCTGGACTACACAGGGACAGATTCTTTAATTAAAAAAAAAAAAAAAAGCAGAAAAGAGATCCAAAGAAATCCCTTTCTCAACTGTATTATTCTTGATAGAAGCTTCCTATCCACCTATAAAAACTCAAAAGCAAAGATGTAGTGTAGTAATTGGGTACTAATGGAAGAGCAGATAAAAATTAAAGGTCAAAGGTTAAGTAGCAATGATAAACGAGTATTAAACACATGAAAAGTAAGTTGACACTAAGAGCATGATATCATGGCTACTGAAATCACATGCAAATGGGAGGGGTGGATGGTTAAGGGATCAGATCTCTTTTCTTTAATAAAAAAGTGTTTTATTTTTATTGAGTTTGTGCAAATACATAAAATTGTATAAATGTGTAGAAGCTACTAAAGAGGACAAAACACTGTACAAGAGTCCTTGCATATTTTCTCTCAATTTCTGTTGTTGTTCAGAAGACTTTAAAACTCCTGGCATTACCAGTACCCTGAACAATCTGCCACTGCCAGTTAAACACTGCAAGTTCCTGCTCTGGGGCATCGGTCCTGCTGCCATGAAGTGGCAGGGCAGAACACATAAATGAGTTCATTGTGAACACATGCTGCCATGCTGAGGGACAGGAAACAGATCCACTCGCACTCCCTGATGACTATTCTCAGACCTTCACATCACAGGACATGGACACTGGCACTGTGGCTCCATGGTCCCTATTCTTTCAAAACTGTTTCTACATCTGCTGACTCTTAATGACTCAACAAAGAATGACAAGGTTAAAAACACTCATCTCTCACCAGTACCTTTCTACTTTCTGAACACCATGCTTCCTTGTTCCTGAAGGAGGCAGCTGAGAGCAGCTGTTAAGAGCAGGGAAGCTCCCTGTCCTCCACTGAAATTCTTTCTGGTCTATATGGCCTCCTACCCTTTCCTTAACTGTACATATGCAAATGTTGTACCATTTGTTGTTCTCCTTTTGGGGACCACAAAGAGAAAAACTCTTAATGGCTTAGGTTTAGTGCAGTTTTCTGGAGCTCTTTGTGGGCAAAACTTTTGCCAACAGTATACGTTTAATTATCCCGACCTTCCTTCATGAGATTGCCTGGCAGACAATAGCTACCGAATTGTATTAATTTTAGAGAAAAGAGGCTGTGTGACCAGGATACAAGCACTGGTTACAGTGTACATCTGTCAATCTCTTCTCACACTGTGTTGCTGAGACAGGAGGATGTCAAAGCAAGGCTGACAGTTACCAGGTAGTTTATAAGTATTGTTATAAAATAAAGTCAGTTTATCCCATCAGGATTAAAAATACCATGAATAAAAGAATGTTACTAAGGTAGCTGAGAAACTAAATGAACTGTTTATCTTGCACATGAAGATATTAGGAGTCAACTACTCAGCACATTTTTCTGCTATGGGACAATGAGTGGTTTTTTTATCCTGTCACTTGTATTATTTTTAATAAAACGCTGAGTGGCCAGAAGCCAGGCAAGGAGTATAGTTGAACAGGATGAGAACAGGAGAATTCTGGGAAGAGGAAAGATTAGGCTATAGTCGTCACCCAGCCGCAGAGGAAGCAAGATGAGAATCCCTCGCAGACAAAGGTACCAAGCCATGTGGCTAACACAGACAAGAATAATGGGTTAATGTAAGATGTAAGAATTAGTTAATAAAAAGCTAATAGGCCAACCAGCTTATAATTAATGTAGTAGACCTCTGTGTATTTCTGGCTGCAGGACCAGGCAGGACAGATGGGCAGTATTGGGACTAATCAACTGATCACCGTGTACTTTCTATCTAAAACATTTGGAGAACATGGCACATTTTAAATGTCAGTTAACTTCACCTGAGATTTCACTAGTATTTTTACATTGCTTATTTGTTAATGATTACAAAAAATTAATTACAAAGAGATTCTAGCAATCCCTAGGGAAACCTGCAGCATGGTACTAATTTTTGAAGCCAAGACTCTTGCTCACAGCTATAAAGACGAGAGATGCACCTCAGTATTTCTAGTAGCAAGACTTACCTTAATCACTAGCTAGCACAGGTTCATGGAGCACGCAGCCCTGAATACACTCAAGCTTAGTTTTAAGCAGTAAGTTGTGATTACCCACTTCTAATAGAAGATGTAGGCTCGTAAGGGGCACAGCTATCATTTGCTGTACCATCACAAATATAGAACATGGTCAGAATTGTGATGGCTCCTTCAGACTTTGTACAGAAGATCTCTAAGGTCCCTGGTCCAGGTATGCCAAATGTTAATGAAGATCAAGTATGATAACAAAATAACCAACTACAATAATACTGTCATAACTTCAAATACTGACTCGTGGAACTCAGCAATCTCAACAGACTTAAGGATGCCCTGCCATTTTCTTCTCTAAGACAGTAATCCTGGAACAGGTGTAACTGTTGATCCGTTTATGATCAACAAGGTTCCACTGCAAAGCTAACTATACTCTGCTAAGAAAGGCATTTGGCTTTTCTTTATTGTCTCTGAAATACATAATATATGGTAAGTCCACACTCAAGAAACAAGCTGCTTTAAATTAGTATTAGAAATAAAGTGGAAAATTGCTTTTTAAAATCCAACAAATGTTTAAAAGGGTGCTCCATAAAACCATCCTAAATTATACACAAATTATCCCCCCCCCTTTTTTTTTGCATACTTTATTGTTATATGGCAGTCAAAACTTTTGGCACTGAGTCAAGTTGTTTTCACAGATCATGAAGACTTGGATACTTGCCTTCATTGCTCTTCCTCAAGCACATCCAGGGAGTACAGGTATTCTTTTAGAAAAAGCTGAAAAACAAGCATAAGAATAGAAGTTAAACTTAACCTGGAGCTCACTTGTTACAGACACACAGGGAAAGGTTAAACATATTTTTAAAAAATGTTAAACAGAAATATTATAGTCAAGAAAGAAGACATACTGGGAAAAACATTAAAATTATCAGCACTGAAAAAGGGGAGTAGGTGATGGAGAGATGGCTCAGCAGTTAAGAGCACTGGCAGCTCTCCTAAAGGTCCTAAGTTCAATTCCCAACAACCACATGGTGTCTTACAACCATCTCTAGTAGAATCTGATGCCCTTTTTCTGACATAAAAGCATACATGCAGATGAAGCATTCATATACATAAAATAAATCTTTAAAAAAAAGAAGAAAAAGAAAGCATGTCAAGTGTAGTGGTGCATGCCTTTATTCTTAGCACTCCAGAAGCAGAGATAGTCAATTTCCAGCTAATTTGGTCTACATAGCAAGTCCCAGGCTAGGCAGAGCCACATAATGAGATTTTGTCAGGGATGGGTTGGGGGTGTCAAAGGGTTACAATAAATATTTTAGCATGATTTCACTGAACAACAATCAGAAACTGAATCAATGTAGTCTTGAACTAACATGAAATTTAAAAAGATGCACAGGAAATCACCACAATTTCATAAACTTTTTTTTTCAAGTACCTCTGTTTGCAAATGCTTGCAAGCTTTCATTCTAAGGCAATTGTAAAGCCAGGCATAGTAGCCTAAAGTAAGATCCCAGCACTTAGGAAGATCAAAAACCTAGGTTTCCCGGGGACACCTAGTAAACTCCAGGTCATCCTGGGCTACATGGTGAAATTCTATCTCAAAAAATGGGAGTGGGGAGAAAGGAAGGGAAAAAACGAAGGGAATTTAAAAAATCTATTTACTATGTACAACTGAGAAACAAAATGCATCAGAAATGAAAATTTTCTGGAAAATTAGCTTCTAACAGACAACACCAGAGACACAATTTAATTAGAGAAGTGTCATAGGAATATCTGTTATGTACTCAGCATTATAGAGACTAAATACAAATTTACTCTCAGAGAGCTCACCTAGGATAGAAAACAAGATTTGTATAGTTAAAAGCTAAAACAGTACAAAGCATCAACTGAGAGCTAAACATGCATACACACCCACAGGAACAGGAACATGTATTACATGCACACACAGAGAGCTACGCTGGAATTATGATTACAGTCATCATTAGAAATCAGGCCAAAAATCCTTCTTCCATTAAACTGTCTGTCAGACATCTGCCACAGCAACAGCTAGTGACTCGTACACATGGCCAACAAAAATTTGAACTTCCAACTCTGTCTTCCTCTTGATGCCTCTGGAATCCCTTTCCATAAAGTTCTCAGTAAATCTCCTATCATGACCAGCGTTTCTTAGTCACAGCTGTATTTATGCTGTTGATGTTCTTCCCTATCAGAAGAAAATTAAAAATCAGTTTCTTTAACTCCTTGTAGTTTTCTATAATGACAGAGACTTTTCTATCTTTAAACAATCCTATTTTACCTGGCTTAGCATGGTTTATACAAGATAAATGACAAAGAAAATATAAACTTTATAGCTGTAAACTCCTGGGTTAGGCTTAGAGAACTATAAGGAAGTACCTAAAAAACAAAACTAGCAAGATCCATTGATCTTTCAGGTCCAGAGGTGTTGAAATACGAGCAGCGGGGCTGCGTCCCTAGCACCCCGGCCGCCTGCTAGCTTATGCCCGAAATAACAACACACAAACTGTATTCATTTAAAGACTGCTTGGCCCATCTCTATCTAGCCTATTCTAGGCTAATTTTCGCACCTGGACTAGCCCATTTCTAATAATGTGTGTAAGCACCCCAAGGTGCGCTTACTGGGAAGATTCTAGCCTACATCCATCCTGGGTCTGAGCTGCCTGGGAGAGCAGAGCCTGGCGTCTCTGCTCCAGAGAGCAGAGCTGTCGAGTCTGTCTGAGGAGTCTTACCTCACTTCCTCTTCCTCCTGTTTACTCCTCCCACCTATGTTTTAACCTATCAGGGCAAGCAGTTTCTTTATTTAATTAACCAATGAAATCAACAGATTGATATATGACACTCCCACATCACAGAGGAATAGCTATATCCACAGATCTACTATCAAAGAGACAGAAAACTGAATCATGTTTGTTATGCTACAATTAAAACTAAACATGTACTGTATTACATGTACACAGACTATTTCATTCTTGAATGAGAAACAGGTGACTACTAATCCCATTAGCCCAGCAGGAGAACCATTAGACTGGTACAAAGGGAAAACAGAATTTAAACATACAAATCACCAAAAGGAAAAAAAGCAGGATCATAGAACAGGTGTAACACATGAAAAGCAACAGTAAACTCAAATATATGAGTAATTATATTGAATATAAAAGTACCAAAAGAGCCGGGCGGTGGTGGCGCACACCTTTAATCCCAGCACTCGGGAGGCAGAGGCAGGCGGATCTCTGTGGGTTCGAGGCCAGCCTGGTCTACAACAGCTAGTTCCAGGACAGGAACCAAAAAAGCTACGGAGAAACCCTGTCTCGAAAAATCAAAAAAAAAAAAAAAAAGTACCAAAAGATAGAAAATATTAATAAAAAATGACATTTACAAAACACCTATGTAAACAATACAATACAAAATAAAAAGTAAAAGCTACAGAAGAGCCACAAAAACAAACCAGAAGAGTTGCACTACCTCACAATAGTAGCCTAATGCTACTTGCTAGACACCCATAGAGTCATGAAAAAACAAAGAAGAGTATTGTTTAGTTCACTGTGATGACCACATCCCCATACCCAGGTTCTGGTACCTGCACAAATCTGAGGGTTAATTAGAACATCACAGAACTCTCCTGGTCCTCTACTTCCAACACCAAAAAATACAAATAACAACAGAACACAATGAGGGAGCTGGGAAATAAAGGTATTCTGAGAACAGGCACACACACACACACACACACACACACACACACGAGAATTAAGCAGACACAAAGGGAACAAAGATTACTAAGAAAAAGAATTGAAGCCTTTGGTTACCATGGCAATGATGAATGTCAACTTTAGTAACGCAGAGCAATAATAAACATCAAACATTGCCAAACCCTAAATAGATCCCCATTCTAAACAAACTCCTACTCTAAACAACTAGCAGATGGGAACTTATGGTCAAATATATGCAGTATTTTCCTCAGTATTGATCATATAAAACACATACACCTTTGAACAAAAATTTATCAAATATACTAAAGGCAGCACTAAAATAAAGATATTCTGTAGAGACAACACAGTTATCATGGCATACATTTTGGAATAGCCGAGGAATTTTTAAAGGAAGGCTAATTCAGGAATGGCTCCAATGGAAAAGGTAAACAGCATGTGAGACCAGACAGGAAATTTTTACAAAGAAATGAAAATCTTAAAAAACCAAAAGGAAGTGCTAGAACTGAAAACACAGTGCCAAAGAACAACGCCTTTTGTTGTTGTTCAGTTTTCTGTTGCTGATGGTTTTGTTTTTTGAGAAAGGGTTTCTCTATATAACCCAAGCTGTCCTGGACCTCACTACTCTGCAGACTAGACTAGCCTCTAACTCAGAGACCCACCTGCCTCTGCCTCCCTAATGCTGGGATTAAAGGTGTGCACCACCACTGCCTGGCTGAAGAACAATGCCCTAAAAGGCATTTACACATATACTGAAAAAGCATACTTCAAATTACTGAAAAAAGAAAAAATACACCTGAAACTGGCAGAAATTAACCTGAACTAATATATAATGAAGAAAGAAAGTGAGTTCTCTTACTTCAAGAGCATCGAGAACTGTGGGAAATACCAAACCACATTACACATTTCTTCTACTACTGTTCTCCTGTAAGCAAACAGAAGTATTTTGTCTATTTGTTTATTTGGGCAGATACCACTGTTTTGCTACATGCCGTGCTTTCCCTATTTAAGCTGCTCTCTTTGTCTTTGGCTTCCCATCAGTTCACCACGATATGCTTATGCTTGTTTTGAGGGACTTGTCCTTTGTTGTTTTCACACTTTCTTATCTGTGGGTGGTGTCTTGTAGTTTTTTAACCCAATGAACCACATTAGGGCTGTTTATAGCACAGTGAGAGCTTAACACAGGAAGATGGGCACCTTACCAATAGTTAAAGCACCAAACCTCCATGAACTGTTAATTCTATATCCTCCCCCTTCCATGACATGTGTTGATAGGCTGGATCTTGTACAGGTAGTCACAAATGCTGCAAGTTCAACAGTACAGCAGTTAAGCCATACCATGCTTATAAGTCTGTATTCCATACCCTTTTCCTCTCCTTTTCTGGGTCTTACATTTTTCTCACCCCCTTTTCCATAATGTTCTCTGAGTCATGGAGCAGTAATATAGATATCCCATTTGTGACTGGGCACTCATTAGTCATTTATTCTATGTAGTTTAGCCTGTTTTGAGTCTCTTACTTGCAAAAGAACCTTTTCTGACCAATGCTGATAGCAGCACTAGAGTATGGGCACAGTTCTTTAGAAGGCAATTTGACAGGCATCATGTCATTTAGTAAAACAACAGCAGTACCTTCCTCACTAGGGCGTAGAATCACCCCAGCCATGGGCTTTTGTTCAGGTTTACAGTAGCAGAGAATGGCCTTGCAACAATGACTTTATCTTGCCTGGCTGGACACAGGCTCCACACCTGAGTAAGACTTCCACTGACAATTCTCCCACAGTGTACCTTCCAGCACTATGAGAGCTAGCCAGCAGAGTTGTTTCTGGCCTAGTTCCAGCTTGATTTATTTCTCCTTAAACCAAGGAGTTAGGTCTGTGAGTGTGTGTGCGTACCAGTAATTTAACATTTGAGGGAGGGGGGAGAGAAAAACATTTGGAAAAAAAGATGAAATGATCTGTAAATATCTCCCTGACTGTAGATAATTCCAGAACTGTCTAAAGATTACTCTTTGATTCCCATGATTAGTTACATCCCAAGGTAAAAGACGACACTGG